TTCCAAGATTCTCTCACAGTAATTATGCAGAGTTCTTAATGAGTTAAGGGTTCTGCTACACCATTCTTTTGATAAAGATATTAGTAACGATTACTGTGGGCCAAGGCCCCAGCACATTTAGGTGTATGTATCCTAGATATTTCTGTTGTCTAATTATAAATAGAAGCATAGGTTTTGCTTCTATTTTCCTTCCAACTTCCTCATTACTCATATGTTCAGTCCATTGTATTCTCAGCATCCTCCTCTAGAACCAAATTTCTCTTGCTTTAAGTCTCTTCTTCAATTGTAATGAGATTGTCCAACATCCACTGCCAGATAGGACAGCTGATATGGCATAAAAATTCAGTACTCTTTACATTGTTCTAATGAGATTTTCCTGTTTCTTAATACTTTACTTAGCTTTGGGAGGCATCTTAGCTATGCCAATTTGAATTCGGATTTTGGTGTCCCACTTTCCATCCTCTGTTAAAACACTTCTCTGATATTTAAATTGTTGTACTTTCTTGATTTTGGTATCTCCAATTTGTAATCCATATGTTGGCCTCTTCTTTTTACCGATAACCATGCGTTCTGTCTCCTTACTGTTTAAAATAGCTTGTTTACAGTTTTTTTATTCACAGCCAATGAACTGGTATCTGGTACAGATTCAGATGCTGGCTGATTGCTGGTAGAAGGTTGTCAAGAATGATGGACTTTATTTTGAAGAATAAATGTTGGTGTTGCTCCCTAAAATTTTGTTGTTTTCTTTTCACTTTCTGAGACAGGACTTTCTGGCCAACCTGATATATATATATATATATATATATATATATATATATATATATATATATATATATATATGAGAGAGAGAGAGAGAGAGAGACAGAGATAGATAGATAGATAGAATCCTTAGCTACCATGTTTACTTTGCATATGTCATGTTTTCTGATCTTCTGATAAACCACTTCTTGTGTCAGCCAAAGATTTCACTTCTCTCCATAAAGAAAGTAAAATCATTCAGTCCCGATGCTGCTCTGAGTGACTATGGCCTATTCTGCTCAATGGCACACTTCCTCCATGACCAGCAACTCAAAATGAGGTGAAGGAAGCTTGTTAACAGTTTTTTTATTTACAGCCAATGAACTGGTATCTGGGACAGATTCAGATGCTGGCTGATTGCTGGTAGAAGGTTGTCAAGAATCACGGATTTTATTTTGAAGAATAAATGTTGGGGTTACTCCATAAAATTTTGTTATTTTCTTTCCGCTTTCTAAGTGAGTCAGGACTTTCTGGACAACCTATTATATTACAAACTTTGTGACGCCATACTTTGGGAACTATAGCCTGATTGTTGTGTTTTTAGTAACAATGGCATAGGCGAATCTATAGGCTCACTCAGTGTTTTCTTACTTGTTTTTGTATCAAACATTTAGTAAACTTGCAACATGTTCTTTGTTCTTTTTTTGAAATCGGTATCACCCCTAAGCAAGGTGGTACATCCTTTAAAAGGCAAGGGGTTACATGGTGTAGAGGAATTTGGAACAGAAACATTAGTAATGAGCAGAAAGAGAAAAGAGTAATCAGGACAGTAGATGGATTTATTTCTAACGAATTTTTCCTGTTTCCTTATACTTTGCTTAGTTCTTGGAAGGCATCTTTCATTATTCCAATGCCACAGTTTCCATCCTCTGATAAAACGCTTCCCAAATATTTAAATTGTTGTACTTGCTTGATTTTGATATTTCCAGTTTGTAATTACCATTTTGGGCTTTTCTTTTTTGTTGCCAACCATTTTTGTTTTTATCTTCTTTGTAAATATTATTTATCTTTCTACTTTTTCTCAAGAAACTATTCCCATGATGCTATGTTGGTTTTTCATTTTAATATTTCAACTAAAATCATTTTATTACCTATTAAGATTTGAATAAAAATTATTTTATTTCATTTTAACATTTCAGTAAAAAAGAAAAACTTTTATTTTATTTCAATATTTCAGTAAAAGCAATTAATTTTATTTTAATATTTCCTTAAAATCATTTTCAAACAAAAACGAACTGCACCCTCCCTGTCTAACATTACATGCAGTAATCAGAAACGTGACTTTTGTCAGCTTTTAAACACTAAGTATTAGCTGCCCTGCCAATGCAAACAATTTTATTCCGCCTATAAAGACACACCTTGGATGGATGCTTTTAGCAATTATTACTATTTGTTTTGTGGCAATCGAATTTGTCTTTCCCAAAACCAATGCGTGCTGCGGATGAACAGACTTAATTGCAAAGCTGTAAATACAAATAAGTGGCTCAAAATATCCATCCAGAAATGACAAACATAAGACATAATTAAAGCAGTTCAAGACCAGAGCTTACTAACATCATTTGGGCAGGGGCAGAATTGAGAAATGAAATAAAATCGTTTAGCATCATTATACATTAGCTATGTTCACGAAGTCGCTGGCAATGGGAAAACTCACACAGAATATTAATAAAGATGATAATATTTATAGGACAATTTTCTTAGTATGAATTTTTTACAAGTTTCTACTTCACTGTTTAAATGTTATGTAATAACAATTTTCTTATATGGCAGTGAATGCTAGACAATTTCCACGTATGCGAACAGGTGGAGTAAATAGATAGCGGCTTGGATTGAGGAATCTTGATAATAAATTTGATAGCTCTCAAAGTAAAACTGGCAGCTGTTCTTGAAAATGACCTCCAATCTGTTGCAAACTGGGGCAAGAAATGGCTTGTAAATTTATTTTAACACCACCACAGTTCAAATTCCAGTTGAGTTCATTGTATTCACTTATATGCTAATACACTTGTGAAAGGTATGAATCCATCTCTTCCCCTCAGCTATGGGTAAAATACCAGGACAGAGTGTGCCCTGTAGCCTTTGTTGTTAACCAGTCTAGGAGAAGAAAAGCTATAAATTCAAACCACCTTGTAGGTCTGCCTCTCTAAATTCTGAGAGGAGGGATGACATGACCTCATTATTTTGGTGTAAAAGAAACCAGAAAGCCATTTTATTATTCCGCCATGAATGTCTCCATGAATCACAATTTTGAGATAGAAGGAAGTAGTGTGTTAAATGAAGAAATGCTGAAAATGAAGCGGCAGCATGATTTTTTTTATTCATTTTCTGTGGCTTATTAACCTTTTGCAAGTTATTTAAAGCCATAAAATGATTTGAATTGTAAGAATTCTTTTTCTTTAGAAATTAGTGATATACTAATACAAATCCTACTAATTAACCCATAACTGGGGGTAGAAGTAGTAGATTCATACCTTTCCCAAGCATTCTTGTGTGTAAATAAATATAGCAAACCCAATGGAAATTGGAACTCAACTCTCTGATTAACAATTGCAAGCCATTATCCATTACAGACTTACTCACATTTTCAACTAAATTTCTATTTCTAACGGTTGGAGATTTTTAACAGTTAGCATGCTGACATAGCCAAAATCTTGATAGTAAGTTTGATATCTCACACAATGTAAAACTGGAAGCTGCTCTCAAAAATAACCTGTTGTTAACTGGGGCAAGAAATGGCTTGTAAATTTATTTTAATGTCACCAAAATGAAACTGCTATATTTTAACAGTCTTTTTTTACTTTCCATCAGTATGGCTGATGTTAACATTAATGGGCTCATGTTTTCTACTGTCATGAAGCACAAGTATTATATTGAATCAATTGCTAGTTGGCGGATAAGAAATTTGATTTTTATGCCATCCAGAAAATTTTTCTCATTATAATCCTTCTTGCACATTTCTAAATCTACCATTCATCTATTCCTTAAATATTGCTGCCATGTCTAGTCTGATGATTCTGCTATATATCTCAAAATTCTCAAGAAAATCTAAAGAAGGGTCTGTAATGTTACCAGTGCTGACCTGAAATCTTCACTTCAGTCAAATTTGCATTGAATTGATGTAGCCACCTCATGTCTTTTCTATAAATATTTCCATGGAAATTTGTTCTGATGAGTTCTACTCTTTGATACCTTAGTCCTGGGCATGGCAATAAACTAAATCCCGCAAGAAGACCTCTGATTGGGAGATTGAAAGTTTTGAGGACCGTAGAACCACCTCTTAATTGCTGTTTTTCTCAGGTCCAACTTGAGCCAGGATTATAGCACCTTTTAGGGTCCCAGCTTTAGGCAAATAATGAACCTATTGAATATACAAATTATTACTATGCTATATATTAAGCTCTTCGGTACTTAGAATTTAGAACAGCTGATATATGTAGCAAGCTGGAATGTTCTATTCTGCCACTTAGGCAATCCCATTCTCTGAGTCCTTATTGGCTGCTGGTTCTAATGTGAATATTGTGATAGATAAATATTCATTATTCACCATTATGTTTGCTTGAGTACAGAGCTGTGTTGAATTAAAGCTCACTCAACCCTGTCTCCAACTGGATGCTAGTTTGGAACCTTCCTGTGAAGGTAAGTATTGCATTGATTCTACAGAACCCAACAAACAAAATCAAAAAAACTATGAAAGTATAAAAATACAGTGTTATAGTAAAATTACCAGCAATACATATTTATAGTAAAATGACCAACAATACACATCTATAATAAAATTACCAGCTATATCTATTTACAGCAAGAATTACCAACAATACATTTTATTGTAAAATGACCAACAGTGCATTTTATCTGTAGTTCAGGGCATGTGAATGTGTTCAAAATATTTAGATTTTGGCATTAAATAACCCATATAGGTTGATATCCCACGAAATCAACCAAACTTTGGTACCTTGACCAAATTAATTTAAGAGTACTACTAGATTGACAACTAAATCTCAACATTAACTGCAAGTTCTGTTTGAATCTATCTTTAGTTTATTTTGTCCCACTTATCACCTGTTAAACTCATTTCAAATGCCTTGCTTCTTTGTCATTTACGATCTTCAGATATTTAAATGCATCTTCAGACATCATTCTCTGTCTTCCAGAACACTGTTCTTTTATTGCCATTTCTCCTCACTAAATTCTTTCTTTTGGTTTATGGCCATATCATGTTGATATACCAGTTAACCTGTGATCACCGAAGTTAAGCAGCGTCAAGTCTGAGCAGTACCTGAATGGGTGACTGCTTGCGAATACAAGGTTCTGTAAGCTTGAATGTGCATGTGATGTAATGGATAATGGCTCGGAATTGGAAATCAGATTTTTGAAACAATTTTTTCAGGTTCATTATATTCCCTTATGTGCAAATATTCTTGGGGAAGGCATAAATCCACCTTTTCTCCACCCAACTATAGGTTAAATTAACATCAGAAAGCATTATTAAAAAAAAAAAATATTAAACAAATCTAAAAATATTTCCTGGCTTTAAAAATATTGCAGAAGATTGATAGACCTTAAAAAACAAAGAAATCAATCAATCTCATTCTACTTTCAATCTCAGCAGACTCTGGTTTCTTAGTGACATTATCCCCTTGGTTGTGGTGTGATGATTACAAAGACAAAAATGATCCCCTATATGCTTTTTACACAAAAGAGCCAAGCTGATTACCGACACATTCTAGAATGTAGATTTTGAAAATAAATATTGCAGTGACCAGTTATCTATTTTATTTTGTGAAGTCAAAGAAGAACGACATTCAAATTTTAATTGACAATATTCCATTGAAATAGTTCCATTTATACTAAGTTGGAACCTATTGTAACCATATAAACACCAGCATCTCCGTCAGACTCCATTACTTAGTTGACCCTGTTGGACCTCATCATGATTGACTGGATGCTCAGCATGCCATCTTTGATTTCCGTTCTTTCCTCTACCTCACAGAATAACAGTTTGATGTCTATTTATGAAGTAACCTTTCCCATACAACATGTGGGTGGTGACCCTATTTTAGGATGACAAAAGTGAATTCCATTTACTCACAATACAAACTGAACTGACCTTCAGACATTTTCTATTAATCAATTTCTTCTTTAGTGTTATCATTCATTATTCTAATCTATATTTTGGAAATGTTTCATCATTTGTTAATACAAATTATAGATTTTAGGCGTCCATTTATGAATCCTTTTGCAGAACCGGAGATCCAAGTTCGAATTCCAGTTGGGTTCATTGCATTCACTTATGTGCAAATACCCTTGGGAAAGGTATGAATTATTTCTATTATTGATTTTTCTGTGTCTATTCAACGTGGTATCAAAACAGGTATCTTAAATAAAAATAGCAGAACAGACTGTGCCCTATAGCCTTGGATGGCAACCAGTTTAGGATAAGGACAACTGAATTCAAAACTTAGTGTACACAAATAATAATCTATAGTTTTTGGCAGTCGGTCAAAAACTTGGAAAGGAGATGTGCACTGACAAGCTATCAAAAAGCCCATTGAAAGGGTCACGAGGAAGAAGAATTAAAGTTTGTTTCTTCTACTCACATGTTCCCCTCAACGATTGAAGCAGTCAAAGGTTAAATAAAACAGTATAATGTCAGGATTTATTATTGTGTGTCCAATGGAAAATAAATGTATATTTTTGTACCGGGATATATGAGATTACAACGTCCTATTTCATTCAGAATTTTAAGAGGCAGACAAATCTGACTGGTTCAAATTATTTTTTTATTCTTCTAAATTTTAACAAACCCAGGGCAATAAATAAACCATCTAGTCTGTCCTATTATTTTAATCAAAATAAGATACACAGATGACATTAAATTGGATAGCAGACACAGAAACTGCTGGAAGTCCTAGCCAAGATAGTGTTATGGTTCAGGTTAGGGCCAAGGAAGAACAACACGAACACAAGAGTAGAAATAACGAAGGTATATTACACAAAAATAATAATACAAGATGTGGAAGGTGTTAGTATGACTGTCAGTTTGGTTTGGAGTGAACTACTATCGGCTCGACTTGATTCATCCCTCTCTCTTGAGAGGCATAGTATACATAGTATACATAGAGTTCATTCTGTAATTATAGGTAAGGACCCATAACAGATAGTATAGGAACGTGAGAAGAAAGGACTGAACCTCAATTGTAAAAAGACAGAATGTTTTATTGTAACCAAAAGAAAAAAGACCAACATGTGAGCTATGAATTGGATTTGTTTTAATCAAGCAAGTTTTTTTTTTTTATCACATGACCTGTATGTTGCAGGAGCACCATGTGTATTGCAGCCACAATAGAAATGCTGTTTCATGGGCAAGATAGCCTGATGAAGCCCAACCCTCTCCAGGCTGGTTTGAATTCATAAATTTCCCTCTCCTAGAATGATTGACAACCAAGGCTATAGGATTCAGTCTGTCTTGCTATTTATCCTTAGCTGGGTAGGTAGGTATAGGGAGAAAGGTATTTGCATGTAAATAAACCTGACTGAAATTTGAACTTGATTCTCCAATTTCTCTTTCTGGGTTGCTATCCATTACACCGCCTGCACATCTTGTAATGATAAATAGTTTTAAGGACTGATAATTTTCAAAATAAAAAAAGCAATAATTTATTATGATCAATTTAAAAAAAAAAAGTAACCTACTATTCAAAAAAGTTCTCATAATAACTGCACAAGTGACAGGGGTGTTTCATGGGCAAGATAATCTGACAAAGCCCAACCTTCTCCAGGTTGGTTCTGAATTCAGAGTTTTTCCTTCTCCTAGACAATGAAAATTATGGAAAAGGCTTTACTCCTTTTTCAGTAAAAATTTATCCAAAGCTGGGTGGTCAAAAAAATAGAATTTTTGTATTAAATAATGCAATAAATTAAATAAACCTAACTGGAATTTGAACTTTATTCGCCAATTTCTCCTTCTGGATTGCTATACATTACACCACTTGCACATGTTATAATGATAAATGATTTTAAGGACTGATAATGACCTCATTGTCAGAAAGTCTAAATTTAAACATTGATTAGGGTTTCAAAGTACCAAATTTGCATGCAGTAGCATGAATAATGGGCAAGATAGATATATGGGGCCCAAGTTACTCCAGGCTGGTTCTGAATTTTATCTTTGAGTTTGTTCCCAGAAAAAGTTTTCATCAAGGTTATAGAACCTAGTCTGTCCTTTAATTTATATCTTAGCTGGGGGGAAGAAGAAGAAGAAAGGATTCATACCTTTAAAGTGTATTCTATGTTTTTGAATGTGTTATAGACAAGCGTATGGTTGCAAGAAAGAAATACGACAACAGCAGAAATAGATTTACGTGGTTTATTTCAACAGGAACGTGAGGGTTTGGGACAGCTACCTTGTGGTAAAGTTCATAAGCCGGCTTTTCGGATCTAGGTTGATCTCTCATAGTAGTTCACACATGTTGGTGGTGGTTGGTGCTGTCCTGCTGTCTTGGCCTGACCGTGACAGGTCTCTTTTGGGGCCACCTGTTGACTGCCTGTTGAACTTCCGTGTGACCCCTTTTATAGCGTTTTTTTATGGCTTAACTGCTCGAAAAATGAAGCGAGTATAATTAGGAGGGAAGCATTTTTATTGGACGAAAAATAGAACACTTTAAATATTATTTTATTTTTCGACCGGAACACGTGTGTCAGGAATATTTGTAAATGAAGATAATGGTCATTTTGTGATGGGGTTTTTGTCCCATTCACATCCGGCTCTCGCTCTTGAGTATTTGCCTTTAAATCAGCCGAGATATGTCTTATTTTATTTTATAACAAATGTAACGGATCCAACTGGAATTTGAACAATTCTGATATTTCTCAATCCAATGGATTATCCATTACTAAATTAAACCTCCCACAAAATTTTAGTGCATAAACGTAAATATCTGGGAGGTGTTTTAATATATGACAAATGTTTTTGATTGCATTGAACACAAAGAAGATGCCTTCCAAAAGTTATGTAAATTATTAAAAACAGAAAAAAAAAAATGGAGAAAAAATAAAAGAATAATAAATTGCTTTTCAACATCAAAAGTTCTCCTCTATATTGTAGTGAATTTCTATACAATTTACTCACCTATTTCGGCAAAATAGATGTGGTTCTACAAATGTTCCCGGAAACCATGGAAAAAATATATAGGCAAACAAGAAAGATTTAAAAACAAAAAACAAAAAGGACAGTTATACTTTTAGAATCAGAAAGATAAACAATAAATTTCTAGGACACATAATGAGGACTGGGAGAATTCGACACTCACAGGGCATATTGATGTAAGCAGCGATTAACAACTGATGAGTTTTTACTGTAAATGGAAAAACAGGAACTGGGAACGAGAGCAATAAGACAAACATTGATAAGTGCTAAAAAAAGATAGGAAGTTGTGGAGAGCCATGATTCATTCAATATCCTGAAAGAAATAAAAGAAAGAAGAAGCAAATTTCATCTTCTGTTCACTTACAAATAATGTTTTTTTTTTTATTGTCTTAATAGCACTTTACTGGAGTAGAGTTTTGTTTTAATTCATTAAAATATAATTAATAATCTAATTTTTTAATTTTTCAAACAATTACAAAAATTTTTATAAAATTTGAAATTTATTTTGTAGTTCTGTCATACTTTTGACTGTCGAATATAGAGTTAAAATGGATAATAATAATAATTTAATAATAATAAAAAAGGAAATTTTTAAAAATTTAATGAAAAATAGAAATAAAAAATCATTAATATCAATGATTCAGACAAAAAATTTAAAGACTATTACACCAATTCAATACATAAAAAAAATGATTAAATTGACAAAAAGATAAATAACAATTTATATTTTATTAACTCCAAGAATTTTAAGACATTTTGAGAAAGACAGAATTCTGTTTTCCAATTGCTTTTTGCAGCATTTTGAATTGAGAAATTTTTTTTTCCAAAATAATGGTGACCATGGCCCTCCACAGCTTTATTTAAAAAATTTTCAAAATGGAAAATTAAAGATCAAGTTGTTCTTCTTCAGCATTTTGAATTCACAATAGTCTTCCTACTTTCATGACGTTCTAAAATTTTATGGTCCTCCACAGCTTTAAAATTTCTTTTTTTAAATGTAAAATGTTTTCTGGTTGATTTTTTAAATTTTAAAAAATTCTTTCAGAATAGTCTTTTTATAAATAGGACAAGGAGACCATGGCCAAAGTTTGTTGATTTTTCTTTCAAGAATTAATTTGTTTTCTTTTTTTTTCTGCAGATTTTTCAAGTCAGAATATCTTAAAAAATT